ATATGTCTCCAAAGGCAAAGGAAACAAAAGCAAAAATGAACTTTTGGGACTTCATCAAGATCAAAAGCTTCTGCACAGCAAAGGAAACAGTCAAAAAAACAAAGAGGCAATGCACAGAATGGGAGAAGATATTTGCAAATGACAGTACAGACAAAAGGTTGATATCCAGGATCTATAAAGAACTCCTCAAACTCAACACACACAAAACAGACAATCATATCAAAAAATGGGCAGAAGATATGAAAAGACACTTCTCCAATGAAGACATACAAATGGCTATCAGACACATGAAAAAATATTCATCATCACTAGCCATCAGGGAGATTCAAATTAAAACCACATTGAGATACCACCTTAGACCAGTTAGAATGGCCAAAATTAGCAAGACAGGAAACAACATGTGTTGGAGAGGATGTGAAGAAAGGGGAACCCATTTTTACTCTTAAATTGGCTGTGAATCAAGACCCATGGTGCTTCCTATTCATCCCAAGAGTTGTGAGGAAGCTTCACATCCCCCTTAGGTGGTCAGGGCAAACCAGCATTGATGGGATAGGGAGGCTAAACTATTTTTTTTTAAGATTTATTTATTTATTTGGGGGTGGGCATGTAGAGGAAAAGGGGAGAGAGAATCTCAAGCAGACTCCACACAACGCACAGAGCTCGATGCGGGGATTGATCTCACCACCCTGAGATCATGACCTGAACCAAAACCAAGAGTCAGAGGCTCAACTGACAGAACCACCCAGGCACACATCCCCCCTTTATAAAAAAAGTTTTATAGGCTAAATTTTTAAGGAGGCACAGGCACTTCATTTCTGAATTCTACTAGAATCATTTGTTAACACTGCATTTTCATATTAAAATCTCAGGATAGGCAGGATGTGTAAGTATCTTGGACTAGACAGCTCCAGTTATCTCCTACCAATGGTCCCCCTGGGGGCAGCAAACAAGTATTGCAAGTAAGTGGGGCTTTCATCCTTGAGACTCACAGACATAAGACACAGAGACCGCTCAACCACCTTCTCAACAGCAGTCAGAATCACTGAATTCTTTTCAGCTCTGCTTTTGAAAGTGTTCAGGGACCGCCAAATGGGCAGGGTTCTCTTATCATTACCTGTGTGGGTAAGTCTGCAGAGATAACAGGCTGTGGGGTGCCTTTTATTTTTCCTCTCCTTCTTAGCCTCCTGTTCTTCCTCCCTCTCCCCTCTCCCATTTCTTCCCCCTTCACTCTCTCCCTCTATCCCTTCCCTTCCCCTTCTCCTTCTTTTTTCTACACCCTTATTGAGGTATAATTGATAAACCAAAAACTGCACATAGTTAATGCAATTTAATGTGATGGTATCACAGGTATATGCGTATATTAAGGGGCACTAGAGTGTCCAGATGACAGGAGTAGGCAGGACAGAAAATAGAACCAGCACATCTTACTGACAGCTCTAGGGAGACAAGTGACTTGCCCAAGGCATAAGGAAATACACAATTTTATCAGCTCAGTGGGATGGGGGTAACTACTGCCCCTGAGAAATACTGCCTAGATCTGGGGAATTCCAGGTGCAAGCCCAAAGAGGATCAGATGGCCATTCACCTACCAGGGAAAACGACGTCCTAGCAGTGAGGCTGAAAGACATGGTGAACGAAATGGAGAAAAAGTCCAGAGAGTCAAATGAATACCCTGCCCAACAGTGGGATGAAAGGTGTATGTGTCTCAGATTGGGAGTGTTTATTAAAACATTCAAAGTTCATGCACTCCAACTCAGCCTTCCACATTTCAGGATGCATTCGATACCAGAGAAACTGTCTCATGAGTGCAACACACACACACACACACAAATATCCTCTGTAACACCAACTGTGGGGAGAAAAGCATCATAGACACACGGACCCCATTATTGTATATAGTATTTGCCTAGATCTATGCAGAGAAAATAACTTTGAAATATGCACACAACTCGAGCTCTCTGAAAATTGGAAGTATAGGGAACTTTCAGTTTTGGTTGTACAATTAATATAAAGAAATAGATGTCCAATACTTTCAAAATATGAATAAAATAAAAAGTGAAATATGGAAGGAACTCCTCACAGCATGCCTTCAATCTCACTTCAGAAGGAAGCCACACATAAGTAAACACACAAGCCACGACAAACACAACACATAAAGAAAGAATTCTGCTTCACAAAAATGGGATTATTCTGTACATATCGTTCCTCAATCTGCTTTTAACAAAATATCATGGACAGTAGTGTAACCTTGGTAATATAGCTTAACAATAAATGGCTTCTCCTCTGCCATCAGATTGCCTGAATAAAAATCCCAGCTTTGTGGGGCGCCTGGTGGCTCAGCTGGTTAGGCATCTGACCCTTGATTTCAGCTCAGGTCATGATGTCAGGGTCGGGATCAAGCCTGACATCTGCCAGGGAGTCTGCTTGAGTTTCTCTCTTTCTCTCCCTCTGGCCCCTCACCTGTGCCAGCGTGTGCCTGTACTCTCTCTCTTTCAAAAATAAATAAAATAAATTAGAAGAGAAGAGAAGAATTCCTGCTCTACCACTTACTAACTATGGGATCTGGTCACTTAACTTTGTTCAATTCTATTTTTTCTCTGTTAAATAGGGATAATAATAATGCCTATCTCTAGGATTTGGAGAAAATAGAATGAAAAACTGCATGCTAAGCACTTAGCTCAGTGTGTAACATAAGGCACGGGATGTGATGAGCACATAGGCAGCTGATGAGTTGCTGAACACAACATCTGAAACTAATGATGTACTATATGTCAGCTAACTGACTTTAAATTTAAAGAAAGAAAGAAAGAAAGAAAGAAAGAAAGAAAGAAGACATGCCAAGCACTCAGCTCACCATGTGACATATACAAATAAATGTTGGCTGACATGAGCCACACTATTTCTTTATGAGTAAGGAGAATGCATTATAAAATGCTCTAATAATTCACCTATTGTGGGTACTTAGGATGTTTTTCTGGGGAGTGTTTTGTTTGTTTATATTGTTTTGTTTGGCATTAAAGCAATGCTAAGATAATAAGATAGAAAGGTGTACGCATCTTTGTGCTACACATGTACTACTCTCTCTACAGAGTAGATTTCTGTGAGGGTAATTATTCAATAAATAAATGTGTATTCAACTCTGATAGAGATTACCAGAAAGGGTATAGTGATTGCCCTCTCTTTATTGGTACATGTCAGGCTCTTTTTCTAAATGTATGTTGTAAAAGAAACTGCACTGACCATCCAAAGGGTGAAAATTGTATTTCAGTCCAATGTGTGTTTTCTGGTTACTAAAGAAGTTGGACATTTTCTCCGTGGTTTGGTAAATGTGTTGAAGATATTTTTTTGAGTGATTACTGTAAAGTTTAGCTTTATGTATCATCTCTTTTGGTAAAATTTTCAGATTTTTGAATACAGTATTTTGTCATTCAGCCTCTACACTTTTTTCTTCACTGGAATGCTATCCCTGTTTTGAGACCACTAAAAATATACTGCTTTTTGGCTAATACTTACTTTACAGTTTGGATATTTTTACTTTTAGTTTGTTCATTCATATGGGATTTATTTCTATGTGTGTTAGATAGAAATCTAGCCTTATCTCTTCTAAAGATACAATTACCATAATATCAAGTATCTTATATAGTATGTCATCCATTTTTCATCATTATGAAATAAACATATTATATGAAGTAGCACATAGTTCAAGGTCCATATACATGTCTAAGTACAGGTACATAGAGTACTTAAAGGTGACCTATCCTTTGTTTTTGTCTGTGTGTAACATTATCTTACTGTGCTTCATTATTACATGCTTTGAGTTTTGGTTAGAAAACTTCTCTGCTGTTATTCTAATTTTTTCAAAAATTATTTTGTCATTCTGTAGCCATTTCTTCTTCTAGATGAGTTTTACAATGACTTTCTCAACTCCCATTAAAAAATCCCCTAGGGTATATTACAGTCACACTGGATGTTATTAATTGAGAAAACTGACTTCTCTCTCCAGCTTTACTGAGGTGTAATGGACATGTAATATTGTGTAAGTTTAAGGTGTACAACATGAGGACTTGATACACAAACAAATTTGGAAATGATACCACAGTAGAGTTAGTTAAGACCTCTATCACCTCCCAAAATGACCATAACTTTTAATGTGTGTTTCTTATCCATGATATTGGTAAGGAAGGGACTTAATGTTGAAAGCTTTCTATTCCAATGATATTTGAATATTGAGAATGAGGATCTCATAGTTGTTTAATCAGAAAAATATATACTTTAAAAATTAAACACAGTAATGTAGGCTCTTCACGGTAGTATTCCTATTTTGACTGGCAGCCCTGAACCAAAACCTTATGTATTCAGAGCATTTTAGCCAAAAAAAAAAAATTGCTTAAATAAACATGAAGCATGAAGCAGGTTATGCTATGAAGACCTAGGCAAAGCTCATCTAATTTCTGTGGATACCAAGGAGCACCGATGTCATTGATGGTCACTTTTATCCTATTCCCATTACCACAGCCACCACCTCTGCTCTAAAGAGTAGGACAGAATTCTCAGGAGAGGACACAATTCATGGATATGTCTTCAATGAAAGTATCCTGACTCCAGGCAAAACCCAATAGCTTCTTCCCTGGAACATGAAGGGGGTGGGAGAGAATAAGCATCTGGTCAAGAAACAACCTGAGAATGGGGTGGGAGGTTGGGGGAACCAGGTGGTGGGTATTAGAGAGGGCACGGACTGCATGGAGCACTGGGTGTGGTACAAAAACAATGAATACTGTTATGCTGAAAATAAATTTAAAAAAAGAGAGAATTGAGAAGAACTCACACATATCAGGCTATGGAGAAGTTCCTAAGACACTTGGGATAAACCTTTAGCTTCTTATTGAGAAAGCAGATTAGAATTTTCTTTATTTTTTCCATGTTGGATTTTACTCTGTCTTCCCAGTAGTTTCTTAAAGTAAATGCTATTTAAAATTCTAACAAAGCAGGGGGATTTTTTTCATAGTCTGGAGATTAGGGAGGAAGGTGACTTGATGAAATTGCCCTTCACATCTCTCCAACTGCTTCTCCACACCCTGTCCACGAAGGCACAGACATGGAGACAAAGAACTACAGCAGCGACTCAGGCTTTATCCTCCTGGGCATCTCTTCCAACCCTCAGCTACAGAAACCACTCTTTGCCATCTTCTTCATCATGTACCTGGTCACTGTCATGGGCAACATACTCATCATCCTGGCCATACATTCTGACTCCCGACTCCATACCCCTATGTACTTTTTCCTCAGCAACCTGTCCTTCATGGATATCTGTTTCACAACAGCCATCATGCCCAAGATGTTGGCAAATTTACTATCAGAGACCAAGGCTATCTCCTTCGTGGGTTGCCTGGTCCAGATGTACTTCTTCATGGCCTGTGGGAACACTGACAGTTACCTGTTGGCATCTATGGCCATAGACCGGCTGGTAGCCATCTGCAACCCCTTCCATTATGATACGGTCATGAATCCACGGCGTTGCCACCTCATGCTGCTGGCTTCTTGCACCATTTCCCACCTGCACGCCCTGCTCCGGGTGCTACTCATGTCCCGCCTGTCCTTCTGTGCCTCCCATGTCATCAAGCACTTCTTTTGTGATACCCAGCCTGTGCTAAAGCTCTCCTGCTCTGACACATCCTCCAGCCAGATAGTGGTCATGACTGAGACCCTGGCTGTCATCGCGACCCCCTTCCTATGCATCCTCTTCTCCTACCTGCGAATCATCATCACTGTGCTCAGAATTCCCTCTGCGGCTGGCAAGTGGAAGGCCTTCTCCACCTGTGGCTCCCACCTCACTGTCGTGGCCTTGTTCTATGGGAGTATCATCTATGTCTACTTTAGGCCCCTGTCCATGTACTCAGTGGTGAAGGACCGGGTAGCCACAGTCATGTACACAGTAGTGACACCCATGCTGAACCCCTTTATCTATAGCCTGAGGAACAAAGATATGAAGAGGGGTTTGAGGAAATTAAGGGACAGAATTCACTTGTAGAAAGAACAAATAGTTGGAACACCTTAATTACGAGATGACCTAAGAGATGATCACACTATCTTTCCCTCCTACCCATGTTTCCCATGGGACCCAAACAGGTCATAGAAGGTAGTGCTGGAAAACAATAAGAGCCCTGACCTAGAAGTTAGGGCACTTTGTTCTATCAATGACCTTGACCAGTTACATGTGCAATCCCAGACCAAGTACTGCTAGGAATCCACATTTCAGGAAAGCTGTTTCTGCTATGTATATAAATAAAGCTATATTGAAGTGGAACAAAGTTATCTCCAAATACCTCTTCTATGGGCTAGATTTTGGCTAGGACTCAAGAAAGTACAAAGCCCTGTTGGTTTTGAGAAGAAGTTACATGAATTTGGTAGGGAATTGGGAAAGACCTTTTTGGAATAATTGTCCTTAAGGATAGATTGATTTTGACAGACAAAAGTTCAATACAGCAGGAAATGGGCAGAGTATTCCAAACAGTGGGTCCTACACAAAGAGGAAGAAGCTATAAACACTGGAATGTGTTTGAGGGACGGTGGGAAGGCCTGGGAGGCTTGTTCAGTTTGAGAACAGAGAGCATAAGGCTGGAAAGATGGAGAATCTTCAAAGCAGATGTAATGTCCCCACTCCCCCCGCCAGCACCAAGTTGTGAATTCTCAGCACTTGAGTCCTTTCCCCTTCCCTCTTAATTCTGTCTTTGTCCACATGGCCATGATCCTCACTGAAATGCCCTTTTGAGCCTGGGAAAAACGAATGTGTGACAGTCAGGATAAGCTAGGTTGTATTGAGGAAACAAACAACATCAAAATTGTTGGACCTGAAACCAAAGATTTATCATATTGACACTGTACGTTCATCATTGAAAAGCATAGAGTACAGCTCATTTTAAACACTCAGAGACCAAAGCTGATGGAGCAGACACCATTGTAAACATTAATCATCACTCTCTCAGAAGCTGTGGAAACCTCTTGAAGATTTTGCACTGGCATCTAAATACTGTGGTCTAGATTTGACTCCTACTACTTGTAACCACAACTGATTGTCAACAAATGATCTCCCTGAAGTTCACACTAAAGGGAATTCTAAATAACGAGAGACAATGAGGGGGGCCTGGGTGGCTCAGTTGGTTAAGCACCTGCCTTCAGCTCAGGTCATGATCTGAGAGTCCCAGGATGGAGTCCCACACTGGGCTCCATGCTCAGCAGGGAGTTTGCTTCTCCCTTTCCTTCTGCCTGCATGTGCTCTTACATGATCTCTCTCTCAAATAAAAAAAAATACTTTTTTGAAAAAAGAGACCATGAAATAGGTGTGGTGAAAGTGTTACAGATCTGTCCCCCAGGTTAGTCCTAAGCTTCTCAATGACAGCTAGAGGACTGTCTCTGCCAGAATCAGAGGCACTTCCATAAGCTATCTCAACACCCTCTGAAAGTGAGCTGATGAGCAGATAGTATCAAAGGACTTTAACCAAAGTTTTGCTATCCAAACAAGGGAGCCTAGGGTGAACTTGGAAATTTGCTAATAAACATCAGTAAGAATGAAATAAATCCCTTCTGGAACTATGTATAGTCAGAGCAAAGGTCTAGGCACACCTTCTGAACCCTTCACCAAGTCAGGTGAAGTGCTTCTACATGGCCCTTGGGAATAGATCAGTAAACCCCTCGACAGCTCCCCCTCCCACCATATAGACAGATGACCTGTGATACTGCTTGAATCCAACAGTGGAATAATACCAGAAGCATGTTGTTTGATGAGGAGACTGTGAAGGGAAATGTATCAGGTCCTTCTACTGCAAGCTCATTTTATATATATATATATATATATAAATATATATATATATATATGATTTTGATATATATATATATGATTTTGCTCAATACTAAACTAAGAAAAATTTAGTTCCCTGAACATGCTTTGCCTTATAATGAGATCGAGTGACATAAACTAGGAGGGGTGTGAAACATGAATGCTGAGGACAACCTAGAGAAGAGTGCTGCATATTTCTGACACTGAAGAGTCTAACAGAGAAGGCATTAACAAAGAGGACAGAAAAGGAGTAGTCCTATCATCCAAGAACAGAAATTTCAAGAGGCTGTGACTATGTGGTCCATATACACTATGGAGTACTATGCCTCCATCAGAAAGGATGAATACCCAACTTTTGTAGCAACATGGACGGGACTGGAAGAGATTATGCTGAGTGAACTAAGTCAAGCAGAGAGAGTCAATTATCATACGGTTTCACTTATTTGTGGAGCATAACAAATAGCATGGAGGACATGGGGAGTTAGGAGAAGGGAGTTGGGGGAAATTGGAAGGGGAGTTGAACCATGAGAGACTATGGACTCTGAAAAACAATCTGAAGGGTTTGAAGAGGTGGGGGGGTTAGGAGGTTGGGGGAACCAGGTGGTGGGTATTAGAGAGGGCACAGATTTCATGGAGCACTGGGTGTGGTACAAAAACAATGAATACTGTTATGCTGAAAATAAATTTAAAAAATGATTATATAAAAAAAAGAGGCTGTGACTATTAATCAACATTAAAATAACAGAGTTTAAGCCAAATAAGCCTGGAAGACTGTCCATCGACTTTAATGACATGAAGGCCTTCAGTACATTGATAATGAAGGTGCGATGGAGGAATGGAAAGGAGACTGGGGGCTGAGAAGGCAGGGGTTAAGGATTCAGTTGTGATCTGGACATTCATGATGAACAGTCTGAAAGGAAAGAAGTAAACTACCCCACCTGTAGCATCAGAAAGAATAAATTACTTATGAATAAACTCAATTAACAAGGTGAAAGACTTAAATAATGTAAACAAAAACATTTGATGAAAAATTAAAGAATGTCCCAAATATATGGCAAAATATCACCTGTTTATGGATTGGAAGACTAAGTATTGTTTAAAAACCATTCTTTTTTTAAGATTTATTTATTTATTTATTTATTTATTTATTTATTTATTTGAGAGAGAGAGCATGCATGCATGAGCAAGGGGAGAGACAGAGGGAAAAGCTAACTCTCCACTGGGCAAGAAGCCTGATGCAGGGCTTGATCCTAGGACCCTGAGATCATGACCCAAGCTAAAGGCAGATACTTAACCAACTGAGACACCCAGGGACCCCATTAAAATACCACCCTAACCAAAGTGATCTACAGACCCAATTCAATCCCTATTAAGATCTTAAAATCCCAATGGCATATACAGCAATAAATAAAGGAATCCTAAAATTCATATGAAAGTACAAAGGGAGGGAAAAATAAAACAAGATGAAATCAGGGAGAGGGACAAACCACAAAAGGCTCTTTTTTCCCCCATTTTATTTCATTTCTTTTCAGTGTTCCAGCCAAAAGACTCTTAACTATAGGAAACAAACTAAGGGTTGCTGGAGGGGTGGTGGGTGGGGGTGGGGTAACTGGGTGATGGGCATTAACAGGAGCACGTGATGTAATCAGCACTGGGTGTTATGTGCAACTGGTGAATAACTGAACTCTACCTCTGAAACTAATGATATACTATATGTTAATTAATTGAATTGAAATAAAATAAACTTTTTTTAAAAAGAAAGTACATGGGTACCTGGCTGGCTCAGTCAGTTAAACATCTGCCTTCAGCTCAGGTCATGATCCCAGGGTCCTAGGATCCAGCCCCAAATGTTGCTTCCTGCTCAGCAGGGAGTCTGCTTCTCCCTCTTCCCTAGCCCCTCCTCACTGCTTATGCTCTCTCTGTGTGTCTCTCTCTCTCAAATAAATAAATAAAGTATTTTTTAAAAAGAAGGTACAAAGAATCAAAGAATCCCAAATAGCAAAACAATCTTGAGAATGTAAAACAAAGTATTTCATGATTTTGAAATGTATTACAAAGCAACAATATCAAAACAGTATGGTCTGGACATAAAGACTAATGAATGAAAAAGAACAGAAAGCCCAGACATGAATTCAAGTCCATACAATCAACCAATTTTAAACAAAGGCATCAAGAATATACAATGAGGAAAGGGTCGTCTCTTCAACAAGCGATGTTACAAAAACTAGATACCCCTATGCAAAAGAATGAAATTGGGCCCTTTTCTTGCACTACTCACCAAAACCAACTTGAAATTGATTAAATACTTAAATGTAAGTCCTGAAACCAAAAAAACTCTTGTATAAAACTTACGGGAAAAGCTCTTTGACATTGGTGTTGCCAGTGATTTCTTGGATATGACACCAAAATCACAGGCAACAAAATCAAAACTAGACAAGTTGGAATATATCAAACTAAAAAGCTTCTACAAAGCAAACAAAACAGAGTGAAGAAAAGCAACCTAGGAAATGGCAGAAAATATTTGCAAAACATATCTGAGGTTAAGAGCCCATTATAAGATATATTGTGGGGAAACTGTATTTTCCTACAATTCATTAGGAAAAAAAATAACCCAATTTTAAGGTGGTCTATGGATTTGAATAGCTTTTCTCCAAAGAAGACATACAAATGGCCACCAAGTATATGAAAAGATGCTCAAGACTGTTAACTTAATGCCACTGAACTACACATTTTAAAATGGTTAAAATGATAAGTTTCATGTTATGTATCATTTACAACTAAAAAGGGACGGGGGTTAATGAATGGATTGGTAGGTGTGGCTGTATCAGCACCAGCTCATCAGCAAAGAGGAGTTTTTATGTGAAGACCTGGACTCTTCCCTTGACTCTATGCATTCACCCACATCTCGGGAGAAGCCCCAGGCTTTCTCTATGCATTTGCCCCTGTCTCCTTAGAAATCACTGGAATAACAAGTGACTAATTATCTGGAGATCCAGGAAAAACACTGCTATAGCAGCCTTGGTTTCCTTGGCCTCTACTGAGAGGTCTTTACTTCCCTCCCAGACACAGTGTTTAATGAGTTCCCTAGGGTTGGTGTCTGGGGAGGCTGCCTGCCTCCTTGGGATGAGGTCACATACAGGACATTCAGATAGTTCTGAGCACACACCCTACCCCCCTCCATCTGATGGAACCTG